TCAAAAAAATAAATAAATAAATAAAAATAATTCAGGAAGAATTAGGAACAAAATATTTTTAAATTAAGTTAGCCAGGCATGGTGGCATGCAACTGTAGCTTCAGCTACTTCAGAGGCTAAGGTGGGAGGATTGCTTGAGCCTAGCAATTCAAGGCTGCAGTGAGCTATGATCGTGCCACTGCACTCTGGGCTTGGTGACAGCAAGACATTGTCTCTAAAAATAAAAGATTACTCTGAACCTTGGAGACACAGACTAAGGGGTCCAGAATCTATACCTACAGTTAAACAGGGGTTGGAACATCAGCAGTGAAGGACCATTCACATCATGAAGCCACCTTGGCCTCAGGGTTGGGGACACAGAGGAGTGACAGGGATGGTGACCGGCTGGCAGGTCAGTGCCCTGTAAAGACACAAGCTGCCCAGCAACAGCCAGTTACTGACATGTGAAAATGTGGATCATGTTGCCACATCTTTGGATTTTCCAAAGAAGCCGGAAATTCAGGCTGGGCGCGGTGGCTCAGGCCTGTAATCCCAGCACTTTGGGAGGCTGAGGTGAACGGATTACCAGGTCAGGAGATCAACACCATCCTGGCTAATACGGTGAAACCCTGTCTCTACTAAAAATACAAAAAAATGGCCGGGTGTGGTGGCTCAAGTCTGTAATCCCAGCACTTTGGGAGGCCGAGACGGGTGGATCACGAGGTCAGGAGATCGAGACCATCCTGGCTAACACGGTGAAACCCCATCTCTACTAAAAAAATACAAAAAACTAGCCGGGCGAGGTGGCGGGCACCTGTAGTCCCAGCTACTCGGGAGGCTGAGGCAGGAGAATGGCGTGAACCTGGGAGGCGGAGCTTGCAGTGAGCTGAGATCCGGCCACTGCACTCCAGCCTGGGCGACAGAGCCAGACTCCGTCTCAAAAAATAATAATAATAATAATAATAATAATAATAATAATACAAAAAAATTAGCCAAGTGTGATGACAGGCACCTGTAGTCCAAGGTACTCAGGAGACTGAGGCAGGAGAATGGTGTGAACCCAGGAGGCGGAGCTTGCAGTGAGCCAAGATCGCACCACTGCCCTCCAGCCTGGGCAACAGTGGGGGACTCTGTCTCAAAAAATACATAAATAATAAATAAGCAAGAAATTCAATTTTTAGGTTTTTTTGTTTTCTTTTTGAGATAGAGTCTTACTATGTCAACCAGGGTGGAGTGCAGTGGCGTGATCTCAGCTGATTGCAACCTCCACCACCTGGGTTCAAGCAATTCTCGTGCCTCAGCCTCTTGAGTAGCTGGGACTACAAGTGCATGCTACTACGCCCAGCTATTTTTTTTTTTTTTTTTTTTTTTTTTTGAGACAGAGTCTCACTCTGTCACCCAGGCTGGAGTGCAGTGGTGTGATCTCAGTTCACTGCAACCTCCGCCTCCCGGGTTCAAGCAATTCTCCTGCCTCAGCCTCCTGAGTAGCTGGGATTACAGGTGTGCACCACTACGCCCAACTAATTTTTGTATTTTTAGTAGAGACGGGGTTTCACCATGCTGGTCAGACTGGTCTCGAACTCCTGACCTCGTGATCTGCCCACCTCAGCATCCCAAAGTGCTGGGATTACAGGCATGAGATACTGTGCCTGGCCAACCCCAGCTAATTTTTGTATTTTTAGTAGAGACAGGGTTTCACCATGTTGGCCAGGCTGGTCTTGAACTCCTGACTTCAGGTAATCCTCCCGCCTCAGCCTCCCAAAGTGCTGGGATTACAGGCATAAGCCACCATGCCTGGCAATTTTTAATTTTTTTTTTTTTTTTTTCCGAGACGGAGTCTCACTCTGTCGCCCAGGTTGGAGTGCAGTGGCGAGATGTTGGCTCACTGCAAGCTCCGCCTCCCGGGTTCACGCCATTCTCCTGCCTCAGCCTCCTGAGTAGCTGGGACTGGGACTACAGGCGCCCGCCACCAAGCCTGGCTAATTTTTTGTATTTTTAGTAGAGACGGAATTTCACCGTGTTAGCCAGGATGGTCTCGATCTCCTGACCTCGTGATCCACCTGCCTCGGCCTCCCAAAGTGCTGGGATTACAGGTGTGAGTCACCACACCTGGCCTAATGCTTTTTGTTTAATTATTATTACTATTAATTTTTTTTTTTTGAGTCAGTGTCTTGCTCTGTTGCCCAGGCTGAAGTGCAGTGGCACAATCTCGGCTCACAGCAAGCTCCGTCTCTTGAGTTCACGCCATTCTCCTGCCTCAGTCTCCCAAGTAGCTGGGACTACAGGGGCCCACCACCACGCGCAGCTAATTTTGTTTTTGTATTTTAAGTGGAGACAGGGTTTCACCATGTTAGCCAGAATGGTCTCGATCTCCTGACCTCATGATCCACCTGCCTTGGCCTCCCAAAGTGATGGGATTACAGGCATGAGCCACCACACCCGGCCAATTATCATTATTATTATTATTTTTTGAGATGGAGTCTCACTCTGTTGCCCAGGCTGGAGTGTAGTGGTGCGATCTCGACTCACTGCAAACTCTGCCTCCTGGATTTTAAGCGATTCTCCTGCCTCAGCCTCCTGAGTAACTAGGATTGCAGGTGCACGTCACCATGCCTGGCTAATTTTTTGTATTTGTAGTAGAGACAGAGTTTCACCATGTTGGCCAGGCTGGTCTCGAACTCCTGCCCTCAAGTGATCTGCCCACTCAGCCTCCCAAAGTGCTGGGATTACAGGCATGAGCCACCTCGCCCAGCTATCTTTTTTTTTTTTTTTTTTTTTTTTTTTTTTTTTGAGATAAGAGTCTTCCTCTGTCACCCAGGCTGGAGTGCAGTGGCATGATCTTGGCTCACTGCAGCCTCCACCTCCCAGATTCAAGAGATTCACCTGCCTTAGCCTCCCAAGTGGCTGGGACTACAGGTATGTGCCACCACCCCTAATTTTTTGTATTTTACGTAGAGATGGGGTTTCACCGTGTTAGCCAGGATGGTCTTGATCTGACCTCATGATCTGCCCGCCTTGGCCTCCCAAAGTGCTGGGATTACAGGCATAAGCCACCATGCCCGGACTTTTTTTTTTTTTTTTTTTTTGAGACAGGGTCTCACTCTGTCACCCAGGCTGGAGTGCAGTGGTACAATCATGGCTCACTACAGCCTCCACCTCCCAAAATTAAGTGATTCTTCTGCCTCAGCCCAAGCAACTGTGACCACAGCTATGTACCACCACACGAGGGTAATTGTTTGTTTTATGTTGTTGTTGTTGTTTTTCTTTTCTTTTCTTTTCTTTTTGAGACTGAGTTTTGCTCTTGTTGCCCAGGCTGGAGTGCAATGGCGTGATCTCAGCTCGCCTCCCAGGTTCAAGCGATTCTCCTGCCTCAGCATCCCAAGTAGCTGGGATTACAGGTATGCACCACCACGCTAGGCTAATTTTTGTATTTTAGTAGAGATGGGGCTTCTCCATGTCGGTCAGGCTGGTTTGGAACTCCCGACCTCAAGTGATCCACCCACCTTGGCCTCCCAAAGTGCTGGGATTACAGGCATGAGCCACCATGCCCTGCCTGGCTAATTGTTTTTAAGTTTTTCGCAGAGGCGGGGTTTCACTATGTTGACCAACCTTCAAATTCCTGGGCTCAAGTTACCCTTCTGCCTCAGCCTCCCAAAGTGCTGGGAGTATGAGCCAACAGGCCTGGCCTTTAGCAATTTCTTTTTTCTTTTCTTTTTCCTTCCTTCCTTCCTTCCTTCCCTCTCTCCCTCCCTCCCTCCTTTTTTTTTTTTTTTTTTTTTTTTTTTTTGAGACAGGGTCTTGCTCTCAGCTCAATGCAACCTCTGCCTTCTGGGCTCAAATGATCTGCCTGCCTTAGCCTCACAAAGTGCTGGGATTACAGGTGTGAGCCACTGCACCCAGCTAATTTTTGTATTTTTAGTAAAGACATGGTTTCACCATGTTGTCCTGGCTGGTCTCGAACTCCTGACCTCAAGTGATCCACCTGCCTTGGCCTCCCAAATGGTTGGGATGACGGGCGTGAGCCACTGCGCCCAGCTGCTTGTAGTAATTTCTGACCTTTGGTTTACTCTTCCCCCAGGCCCCTCAGTCTCTGGACAGAGCCCTCTGCACACTCCCAGGATTCCTCTGTGTTTGTAACACATACACAATATCAAACTTCCCAAGGGTAGAAAGCCCAATTTCCATGCATCTCTGAAGTACGCCCGCCTCGGTGTTAACCACAGTGTCCAGGAATAATAATGCAATGTGTCGAACTGAAAGAATTAGGTGGCCTTAAGTACACCACTCACTTCTCACACCTTGGTTTCCTTGCCTGTGAAACAGGGATGATAGGCAAACTTATCCCATGGGACTGTGATAAGGAAGACGAGAAAGAAAGGCTGTAAAAATTGCGAGCATAGATAACTTGGACCTTGGGAGACCACCAGTGTTCCTGGTTTTTTAAAGGTTTCTTCTGCTGTGAGCTGGATGCTTTCTGAGCTATGAGGAAAGAGGTTCTCCCTCCTTGGCAAGGGAACCCCCACTGATTTCTTTCCTGCCACCGTGAGCCTCAGTTTCCTCCTCTGAGGGGAGGTGTCTGGGGAACAGGGGCTGGGACACAGACTATTGCAAATCCTTCCCGGCTGTGTTTGTCCCTGCAGCCCCAACTCCTGCAGCCATGACTTCCACCAAGCATTAAGGCCATGTTTAGTGCGTAGGGTATTCCCTCTCAGGTCTGCCCTGCCAGCCCCTGCTCCCACCCTAGCCCCATCCCAGGGTGAGTCCAAACAAAGGCTGGCCTCAGGGGATCAGCAGCCGCCAAATCTGAGATAGGGCTTTCCTGGCCCTGCCGGTGGAACCCCTGCTAGATGAAGAGCGGCCAGAAGCCCAGGGACCCTCGCGGGCATCGGGGCTCCCAGATGTCCACGGGGCCTGCTCCCACTGGAGACAGGGACAGGGGCGTCATCCCAGCCTCCTTCCTGCTCCCACTGCTGTCCCCTTTTTTCCCCAGGCTGCGGGAGGCAAAGGGTTAAATCCCATAGAGCTGATGCTCTGACTCCAGGCTAGAGGGGCCCGGGAAGCTGGGGTCACTTCCTGCTCCGTCCCAGTCACCCTGAACTGGTCCCCGGGTCCTCAGCCTGGAATCACCCCTTGAGAAGGACCCTAGAGTCCTCGGTGCTCAGTCCGTCCCCCAAGGCAGGGCACTGAAGGGGTTAAGTCCCCTGGGGCTGGATTCCGCCTTCCGGCTTTTCCCAGACCCCAGAGCCGTGAGTTGGGGACGCCTGGGTTCCCAGGGGGTGGCCTGGAGGGCCCGGGACGGCCGCCGGGGAACAATGGGGCCCGGGAGGGGGGTGCCGGGAGCCCGGGCCTGAGCCCCCCACCCGCGCCCGAGGCTGTGGCCGGGGGTAGGGGCGGGTGGGGGGCGCCGAGGGCCGAGGATTCTGGGAAGCGCGGGGGTCGGCGGCGGGGGAGGGGAGCCTAGGGATTCTGGGAAGAGGGATCGGCTGGGGCCGGGGGCCGGCGCTGCCAGCGCAGCCCTGGAGGAACCTGGCAGTGCTTGAAGGAGCCGGGACCCCGGGGGCCAGGGCGGGGGCGGATGCCCACGCTCTGGATCAGCAGCGGGACGGGGGTCGCGGCTCCGGGGGAGCAGAAGCCCGGGGCCGACGGTGCAGGCGGTGGGGGGGCCGGGCCGGGCGGCCGCATTCCCGCCGCCTCCATGTCAGGGTCACCCTGGGCCGTTCCCCACATCTCTCGGGAGGCGGCTCCTCCTTCCCTCCCTCTGCAGCAGGGCCATCGCGAGGTCTCAGGCTGGCGTGCCTGGCGCCTGGGCTCCCAGCGACTCGGCCTCCCTCGGTCTTCCCACGTCCATGCTCTGTGTCGGCCCTGTCATTAACCCTTTCCCTCCTACTCTGGACCACTGGGGGAGAATTTTTTGGAGACCATCGAGGTCCACAAGCTCTTACCTGTCCCCAGCAAACACAGCAGGGCATCCTTCCCGGACCGGACATCAGGCAGCCCCCAGTGTGGCAGAGGTCTCCGCTTCCACCACCCCAAAGACACTTACAGGCGGGGAGGGGGGAATTCTCGGAGCTTAAGTAGCTGCAGAGATGAAGAAATTAATTTACTTCCTAAACGCTAACTTCTGTCTCTCCTACCGCTCTTTGGCAGGGTGCAGCCAGTCTTGCTTCACCTTGGTCACCTCTCGGCTGCCTCCTGCCATGTCTCTCTTGCCCCACTGCCCCTGTGCACACAGCACCCACCCTACACAGCCATCCAAAGTTTCCAGGCCCCACCCAGGGATTCTCTGCAGGGTGTAAATGGTGTGGGACCTCCTTCTAGTGCTTTGTTCATGTGGCCCCATTCCCTCATCCTGGACTCATCTCACCATTTTTGGAGTGACAGCTGGCTGTTTTTTTGTTTGTTTGTTTTTACCAGGGGGCCACTTGGAACTCCTGCTCCTTTGCTGCCATCCCCTTGCAAACTGATCTTTAAAGGCATTAGACCAAACAGGTGTTCCAGGGGCCAGGGACATCTCATTCATTCATTCATTGATTCATTCATTGATTGATTCATTCATTCAACAAAGTTCCCGGAGCACCTATTCGGTGCCAGGCGCAGTCCTGGGCTTGGGAAACAGCCTCAACAAAGCAGAACAGAAGGAGTAGAAGGAGGGTCCAGGCGGGAGTGGGAATAGGAGGGCTTTGGTGGGGAGTATAGTTTCAGCTCATGGGTACAGACCAGCAGGCCTAGTCCCTGGGTGCAACTCCTCCTTTTCTAGCCTGGGAACCCTCTGGGTCCCAGGAATTTCTCCAGCCTATTCTCACTGCCAGCAGGCTCCCCATGAGCTGTCCTCATCACCTGTTTCCTGCCAGCCTCCCACGAGCATGAGTCTCACATGACTCCCAAGGTCACCTCGTGCTCTAAGAGACAGGGGTGAGCCAGACACGGAGCCCTGCTTTTGTCATCTTAGCTCTGCCACTTCCCAGCCTTGACCTTGGAGAGGTCTCCCCAGGCGTTGATGTACTAATCTGTAAAATGGACAGCCACATTTCTGGGTCTCCTCACCATGCTGTGGGAGGACTGGGTGAGAGAAATGACACCATGGCAGGTGCTGGGTCCGCTGCAGGTGTTCACACAAGCATCCCTTCTCCCCTTTTTCTTACTTTTTCTCTTCCTCTGGGCTGTTCCTGCAGATGCTCCTGGCCGCTTTAAACTGCCCCTCCCCCCACCTCCAGCCTGACCTTGTTTCTGTGCTTGGATAACGGGAAAGTGCCCCCGTCCTTTTAGAGGGCCCCTGTCTCCTCTGGGAAACTGGGGTGTTTTTTCTTAACCCTTTAAGTGTCTCCGGCAGCCTGCGTTCACTCTGGGGCACAGAAAAGTTTATTGGTCTCAATTAGCAGCCCCATTAGGAGGAAAATTAAGAGTCTTAATGAGCTTCCTCTGATTAGCAAATAACAGGTTTCCCAGCCTCTGGGCATCATAGGTGTGGGGTGAAAACCTCCTTCCCCTGTGGATGTCAGAGACCGTTCCAGCCCCCAGTCTGGGTTCAAAGGCTTATGAGTGATGAGTTTTTAATTACGCTCTTAAATTCACCTGCTTGCTTAGTTGTGCTCTTAAGATCTGGAGCGAGAATCAGGCCTGCAGGGGAAAGGGGCCACAGCAAGAACCCGTGCCCAGAAAAATGGGGTTGGAGGACACTGAAGCTCACACAAGGAGGAATGGGGTGGGGCAGGGCGGGAGTGAGGTTCAGGGGGAATAAAGCAAAGTGCGAAATCAGCTCCCAGTGTGCGCTCATCGCTCTCTTCCCCCGCAGGGTCCCTGGAACGCTGCAGTCCTGAGCTCTGGGATGGAGCCCGAGACTGCGCTGTGGGGCCCGGATCTGCAGGGTCCGGAACAGAGCCCCAACGATGCTCACAGAGGTGAGGGGCACAAGAAGGGGCTGCGGTCCCGGCAAGACGGTGGCCCCGGCTCAGGGAGGGGCCTGGACTCTGGGGGACACCCAGGGGAGGGAAGAGAGACCAAACCCCGTGTTCTGAAAGGGGCTGGGGGCTGGAGACTCCCTTTCTCTCTGTAGGTGCCGAGAGTGAAAACGAAGAGGAGAGCCCTCGGCAGGAAAGTTCTGGGGAGGAGATCATCATGGGAGACCCGGCTCAGAGTCCAGAATCCAAGGACTCCATAGAGATGTCCCTGGAGAGACCCTCCCAGGACCCCTCTGTCATCCAGAACCCCCCAACCCCACTGGCTCACTCCAACCCCTTGGACCACCAGACTCCCCTGGACCCCCCAGCCCCTGAGGTTGTCCCTACCCCATCTGACTGGACCAAGGCCTGCGAGGCCAGCTGGCAGTGGGGCACTCTCACCACATGGAACAGCCCCCCGGTCGTCCCCGCCAACGAGCCTAGCCTGCGGGAGCTGGTGCAGGGCCGCCCGGCGGGGGCGGAAAAGCCCTACATCTGCAACGAGTGCGGCAAGAGCTTCAGCCAGTGGTCCAAGCTGCTGCGGCACCAGCGCATCCACACGGGAGAGCGGCCCAACACCTGCTCGGAGTGCGGCAAGAGCTTCACGCAGAGCTCGCACCTGGTGCAGCACCAGCGCACGCACACCGGCGAGAAGCCCTACAAGTGCCCCGACTGTGGCAAGTGCTTCAGCTGGAGCTCCAACCTGGTGCAGCACCAGCGCACGCACACGGGAGAGAAGCCCTACAAGTGCACGGAGTGCGAGAAGGCCTTCACCCAGAGCACCAACCTCATCAAGCACCAGCGATCCCACACCGGCGAGAAGCCCTACAAATGCGGCGAGTGCCGCCGGGCTTTCTACCGCAGCTCCGACCTCATCCAGCACCAAGCCACGCACACGGGCGAGAAACCCTACAAGTGCCCCGAGTGCGGGAAGCGCTTCGGTCAGAACCACAACCTCCTCAAGCACCAGAAGATCCACGCGGGCGAGAAGCCATACCGTTGCACCGAGTGCGGGAAGAGCTTCATCCAGAGCTCGGAGCTGACGCAGCACCAGCGCACGCACACAGGCGAGAAGCCCTACGAGTGCCTGGAGTGCGGCAAAAGCTTCGGCCACAGCTCCACCCTCATCAAGCACCAGCGGACTCACCTGCGCGAGGACCCATTCAAGTGCCCGGTGTGCGGCAAGACTTTCACCCTGAGCGCCACCCTGCTGCGGCACCAGCGCACTCACACGGGCGAGCGGCCCTACAAGTGCCCCGAGTGCGGCAAGAGCTTCAGCGTCAGCTCTAACCTCATCAACCACCAGCGCATCCACCGCGGCGAGCGGCCCTACATCTGCGCCGACTGCGGCAAGAGCTTCATCATGAGCTCCACCCTCATCCGCCACCAGCGCATCCACACCGGGGAGAAGCCCTACAAGTGCTCCGACTGCGGCAAGAGCTTCATCCGCAGCTCCCACCTTATCCAGCATCGCCGCACGCACACCGGCGAGAAGCCCTACAAGTGCCCCGAGTGTGGCAAGAGCTTCAGCCAGAGCTCCAACCTCATCACCCACGTCCGCACGCACATGGACGAGAACCTGTTCGTGTGCTCCGACTGCGGGAAGGCCTTCCTGGAAGCCCACGAGCTGGAGCAGCACCGGGTGATCCATGAGAGGGGGAAGACCCCAGCGCGGAGGGCCCAGGGCGACGCCCTGCTGGGGCTCGGGGACCCCTCCCTGCTGACCCCGCCTCCGGGAGCCAAGCCGCATAAGTGTCTAGTGTGCGGAAAGGGCTTCAACGATGAGGGCATCTTCATGCAACATCAAAGGATCCATATCGGAGAAAACCCCTACAAAAATGCAGACGGCCTCATCGCACACCCAGCCCCCAAACCTCCTCAGTTACGATCCCCGAGGCTCCCTTTCCGAGGGAATTCCTACCCCGGGGCTGCGGAGGGCAGAGCCGACGCCCCGGGACAGCCCCTTAAGCCGCCAGAGGGTCAGGAGGGCTTCAGCCAGAGGCGGGGACTGCTGTCCTCCAAGACCTACATCTGCTCCCACTGCGGAGAGAGCTTCCTGGATCGCTCTGTGCTCCTCCAGCATCAGCTCACCCACGGCAACGAAAAGCCCTTTCTCTTTCCTGATTATAGGATTGGCCTAGGGGAAGGCGCAGGGCCCAGCCCCTTCCTAAGTGGGAAGCCTTTTAAATGCCCTGAATGCAAACAAAGCTTTGGCCTCAGCTCTGAGCTGCTGCTGCACCAGAAAGTCCATGCAGGCGGGAAGAGCTCCCAGAAGAGTACAGAGCTGGGGAAGAGCTCTTCCGTCCTCCTGGAGCATCTCAGGAGCCCCCTGGGGGCCAGACCCTACAGCTGCTCAGATTGCGGGGCCTCCTTCCTCGACCGCGTGGCCCTCACCCGGCACCAAGAAACCCACACCCAGGAAAAGTCCCCCAGTCCCGAGGACCCCCCTCCAGAGGCAGCCACCCTGTCCACAGGCCAGGAAGGTGAGGGGGAAGCCCCTACCCCCACGGGGAGCAGCAGCCATGGGGAAGGGGAAGAAGGGGAAAGCCCCAAAACCCGAGTGGAAGAAAAGCCCTATCTGTGCCCCGAGTGTGGAGATGGCTTCACAGAAGTCGCAGCCCTCCTGCTCCATAGGAGCTGCCACCCAGGTGTCTCCCTGTGAAATGGGTCTGGAGACCAGGGGCCTCGCTCTCTCCAGAGAGGAACACTGGATTTTTTTCCCCCAAAATAATTACATGGGGAAGGGAGGATAACCCTATCAGATGGTAGTGGAGTGGAGGAGAAAGAACCCTGGGAAAAAAATAGTGCTTTTACATCAGTGATGAGAAACCCTATAAAATTGTTGGTGGGAAGCACTTATAAGGCAGTAGAGAAAAACTGTTGGGTTAGAAGCCCTATAAATATGTAGGAAAAAAAAAAGCCCTTTAAGTCTGTAGCAGAAAAACCCTATAAACCATAGTGGATAAGAGCCCTATTAATTGTAGGAAGAGGTCCCAATATGTCTCTGAACAACTCTATAAAACTGTATCAAAATCCTTAGGAATATCCTGTAGGGTCGGGGAAGTGCTGCGATGGCACTGACCCGGGAGGAGCGACCCTCAGAAGGTGCAGAAAACACCTGTCCCTCGCTGTTCCACAGGGTTCTGTCCCAGCGGCCCTGGACAGTTCCAGAGAGGAAGACGCTCAGCTGGGGGAGTGGTGTGGGAACTGTGTGGAACTGCAAAGGAAGAAAACAGGAGAAAAATAAGTGACCAGGAGCTCTGGGGCCCCCAGAGGAGATAAGACAGAGACTAGGAAGAGAAGGTCCCGTTCACTGCACTGGGGTTCCTTGGGGTTTGAGGCCAATGTTAGATGAATTGTGTGTGTTAGGGAAAGAGGCCTGTGGAATCCCTTATCAAAAAGAACCCCAAAATGGGGAAGAAAAAACAAATTGGCAAGCCTTTTTAAAGGCTGAAGTTTGGGGTGCAGAAACATGGTCAGTATAAGAATACTGAGAAACCACCACAAAAATTAGGGGGAAGCAGGGGTCAGTTCCTGTTAGATTACTTTGAGGGGAGCAAACCAAGGTGGGGAAACTGCTCACATGGAACCCAGCTAACTCCAGGCCCCTTCTTGCTTCCGGGAGCTTGTGAAACTGCAAGTTGCAGGCAGGTCCCAGCTCTCAGGCTGCAAGGGTTCTCCCCACACCAGGCAGGACCACCCTTTCTACCTGCCCAGCCAGGGACTTCTACTCTGCAAGGCCTCCAGGGATGGCGGTTGCCTCCCACCACATTCTCAGGTCTCACCGTCAGGAGGTTTTTCCTGAAACCTAACTGCCGCCAGTGGCAGCTCATTTCCTCGAATTCTGTCCTCAGTGAAGAGGGAGAACCGCTGCTAGTCAGACCTCCAAAGAATAAAGCCCTTCAGAGACTTAGGGCCTGCATGTGGGCCTCCCTAGCCTTCTCCAAGTCAGCAGGGCCACAGAATTTCTTAGAAAGCTTTGATTAGCCAGCAACTTGATTTTAAACTTCAGCCATTCATCTTTGTTGGTAGCAAGGCTGCCTCGCAGGATAAGGCAGCCGCCCTGGTGGGGATCCAGGCATCCCACGGACCGAGCCACAGGTCCCTGAAGAGTCCGCAGAGGCCGTACCACCTTCCTCACCCTGGTACCTGGAGCCCTCCAGGGTTGTGATGATCCAGCCCAATCTCAGCCTTGGGATGGATGGGAGGGATTCCACCCATTTGGCTTCTCTCCTTAGCCAGAAACCTTCAGAGGGAAACAAGGATGAGAAAGGCTCCCTTGCCAGGCCCATCTCACCTCCCACACCACACAGTTACATGTTCATAAACTCAGCCAAGCCTGCTCACAGGCCTGGGCGTATGTGGCTGGGGAGAGACTGCTGCCCTGTGAGATGGTGGAAGAGAGAAAATTCTTGAATGAAACATCTGTAACAAGAATCCCATTCCCTAATCCTGGAGACCCCTTCAAAAGGAGAGGACTCTGCTCAGCGCTGGGTCGGAAAGGAAGTGCAGGCCAACCCCAGTAGTGCGCTGTCCTGGAGTAAGAGGACTGAGATGCCAGCTTGGGGCCTGTCAGGAGTCGTGTCTCAGACAGGGGTGATCGGGATTTTTGCAAAGCTGTGGAAGAGACCTCTAATTCCATGACCTAAAGGTTCACACAACCTTTATGCAAATCCTTCCTCCTTCATCTATCCTGGCCCCAGCGGAATGACCCTAACATTTAAAAGGATCGAAATCTCAAACATTGCGGGAGGAAAACGCCAGGCCTGCTGGGGAGAGGGAGAAGGCAGGCCTCAGGATTGTGCAGAGAACCTTGTTGCCATCTGCGTAATGCCCTAGCCTACCCAAGTGCCAGGAAGGGAAGCACTACTGAGGGAGGGGCTGCCTGTGGGTCTCCCTAACAGAATGCCGATGAAGGGGTGTCCCTGTAAGACTGAGAAGTCCGCCAAGTCTAAGCAGATTTCCCTGCCCCCCAAGATGGTAGCAGAAACTGAAGTTGTAGAGACAAACCCCTCACAAAGCCAGAAGCAGATGCCCTCAGAAATGGGCCTAAGGAATCTCCCCAGAAGAGAACTGAGGAGCAGCTTTTGGGGCTCAGAGGCCAGTCCGAGGGGAGGCAGGTGGTGTGGCCGAAGGCCGGCGCAGGCCTGTTTCGGACTAGGGTGTAGCATATGTAGTAGGATGCTCGCATGTTGTAGGGATGGGTGAGGGCTAAGGGGCTTGGCTCTGGTACGGGATGGATGATGTGAGCAGTTTGTGGGGTCAGACATTTTGCAGTAGGAAAGGGGCAGGGTCGGAGACCTTGGGGTGTGGCCTGTTCTTTCTTGCCTACCTCCCCAAGCTCCTTTAACCAGGGGCTTCCCTCCCAGAGTGAGCTACGTCTCGGGAGGATCGAAGCAGGGAGGTGGCAGTGGCTAGAGTTGCTCAGATCGGCTCAGATGAAGGCCCAGAGGTCAAAGCATTTGCCCACCAGAACTGAGTCTGGAAGGCACTGTGCAACCAAACCCTCTTGTCCAATCACATGCAGACCCCAGGCCCCTCAGAAACGCCCTGGTGGAGGGAGGAGCCCAACAGATAGGGTCAGGGAGTCAGTGGGGAAAGCAGAGGGGAGAGCTTAGAGTGAAACTTGAAACTGCTGTGGACATGGAGGTCAGATGGGAACTTGGAATTGGGCATGAATCCTGAATGGTGGGGAAACTTGAAGCCATCACAGCCAAGAGGTGGGGTTCCGTGACCCGCCCTGAGGTCAGCAGCTCCCAGACTCCTTTGCCCCCACTAGGGAAGCCCCAGTCACCTGACTTGTCCCCTTGGAGTGAAGAGAGGCCCCACTTTTGAGTGTTGTGTGTCCAAAACAGTGTTGTGTCACCGGTGGTCATGTTGCTTAGTTGAAGAGAATAAAGGGAATAAGATTTCCTGGGTGTTTCTTGTTTTTTTTATTTCAGCCTAGAGTGAGCTGAAAGAGCATGGCCTCACCTTAAGCCGGAGCCCAGGAGTGACTGCAAAAGCTCAGGCCAGCCCCAGGCCCACACTTCACCCAGGGGCCCTAAAATCCCCATCCAGTGCTGGCTTGTGGGAAGCTGAGGAGTTGATGAAGTTTTAAGCTGCACACCCTTGGTATGGAGAGGGATGAATCTGATGAGATGGCAGCAGAGCCAAGCTGTCCTCATCAGTGCCTGGCCTCCCCACCAGCAAGACTGTAGAGTGGCCACCTGGTGGCTCTGGCGCTGGCCAGCTCAGGCCCAGCCGTGCAGCCCCAGGGAGGCCTCTCTGGCCACCATACCCGCACCCTGCCACGGGGAAGTTCTGAGGATCTAGTTTCAGAAGCTGGCATCCACCATTCCTGGTTCACTTGGGGACCCTGGGAGAGGTGGGTGGAGACCTGGCTTGTCATCTCACTCCCAGGATGTCAGCCCTTGTGCCCTCACTGTGTGGAGAGGCTGAGGCTCAGAGAAGGGCAGCCACTTGCCCAAGATCCACAGTAAGTCCATGAAGGAAACCAGAATGGCCAGGAACTCAAGCATGTTTTGCACCCACTCCATCCCAATGTCAGGCCTGCCTCAGTGCTCAGTCTCCTGGGCTCTGGGCCTGGCCACAGGGGGTTGTGGGGGGGTCCTGCCCCAGCCAGGAAGTGTCTCCCCACCTTTCCTGTACCCCTCTGACCACACCCCAGGGCAGGTTTAGTGTCTCCTTCCCTTCCCCACCTGGAAAGGGGGTTGGGAGGAGAGGAGAAGCAAGTAATGAAGGCTACTCCACGTTCTCAGTGTGCCAAGCTCTGGGGACACTGAGGTCCATCAGGAGTCCCAGTGCTGGAGAAATCTGCAGAAAAGTGACTACAGCAGAAGAGCAGGCACAGGCAGTGACTACTTCAGACATTTCACAGGTCTGTGGACCCAGAGATGGTGCCTGCCACAGCGGAGGGCCAGGAAGCTTTCCGGGGAAAGTGACCTGAAGGATGAGGGTTGCAAGAAGACCCTAGAGTAGGTATATGGGTTGGGGGTGGGACGGGGGACAGGGGTGCATAACAGCTGGGTATGGGCTTAGAGCAGAGAGGGGACTATGGGAAGACAGAGGCAGAGAGCAGAGCCCACAGTGTGGAGCCCCTGGAGGAGCTCGGGGAAGGTACCACTTGGGGATATTTGAGAGTGACATGATCTCTCCTCTTGCCACAAGAATAGTGGTGATTCTCCAGGTCTGGAACTCAGGAAAGAGAAGTGGCTGGAGCAGTTAGGTCTTATCAGCTTAGCTATAGCCATAACCATGAATAAACACACCCAGAATGGCAAAGTAGAAGGTCTAGCTTAGGGGTGGAGAAAGAGAACCAGCAGAAGACGGTATAAGAAAAACCAGGACAGGACAGCGTAGCACCGCTGGATGCAAGGCAAGTTTTGAGAAGAGCAGTCAACGTCAGGCAACTCACTGGCCAATCACAGGCAGTGCCCAAGGTCTGGCTGAAATGGGCATGTCCACCACTAATGCCAACATCCGTTCACTCCCAAGAAGACAGCCAAGGTCAGGGTGGGCCCAGGAGGAGTTTTGGTCTGCCAGTCCCTGGGCAGTGGCCCAGGGTATGGCTGCCACTGGGACCACTAGGGGTGGTAAGCAGTCAAAAAATTAAGGCAAATCCTCCGGGCACCAGAGCCTCATGGGAAATGTTTATTAAGAGTTTGGTTCCTGGTCAGATGCAGTGGCTCATGCCTGTAATCCCAGCACTTTGGGAGGCCAAGGCGGGCGGATCACAAGGTCAGGAGATCGAGACCATCCTGGCTAACACGGTGAAACCCCGCCTCTACTAAAAATACAAAAAATTAGCTGGGCACCGTGGCAGGCGCCTGTAGTCCCAGCTACTCGGGAGGCTGAGGCAGGAGAATGGCGTGGGACCAGGAGGAGGAGCTTGCAGTGCGTCGAGATCGCACCACTGCACTCCAGCCTGGGCGACAGAGTGAGATTCCGTCTCAAAAAAAAAAAAAAAAAAAAAGGTTGGTTCCTGGCCAGACGCAGTGGCTCACGCCTGTAATCCAGCACTTTGGGAGGCCGAGGCAGGCGGATTACAATGTCAGGAGTTCAAGACCAGCCTGGCCAACATGGTGAAACCCGTCTCTAAAAATACAAAAAATTAGCTAGGCGCAGTGGTGCATGCCTGTAGTCCCAGCTACTCGGGAGGCTGAGGCAGGAGAATCACTTGAAACCGGGAAGCGGAGGTTACAGTGAGCAGAGATTGTGCCACTGCACTCCAGTCTGGGAGACAGACTCCATCTCAAAAAGAAAAAAAAGGTTTGGTTCCTGCCATATCAGTGGTTGCTGCCCCACTGACATTCTGGGATCTTCACCCCGTTCCCTCAGACTTGACCTTGAGAAAGTGGTTTGATGCCGACTTTTATTAGGTATGAAAACCCACGAGGAGAGTTTTGCCCCTCTGATAGGGAAACCAAATGGCCCTTAGAGCATATATCCAGGGAGACGATGCGGAGTTATTTGGCATTTATAAAGAGCCCAGGCAAAGGCGACTCCTGGAGGGGAACTGCGCTTAAGGAGGCCTGGCTGACCTCCACCCGTTACCCGTGCGGTGCTCCTGAGACTGGCCCTGTACAGGGGAGCAGGTGGTCGCGTCTCTATGATGCAATATCCTGCGTTTTTCCCACACTCGCACCGCTACCCCGGGCCATCCACACTTCCTCGGTGGCCCGATGTCCTTCCCCGCCGCGGGCCGCGCTTCCACCAGCGTGCCCGCCGCCACCGGCGGCCCTGTCCTGAGGTCACCGTGGCCCGCGTCTCCGTCTCCAGTCCGTCCTGGTCCAGCAGCGGCGGCCCCGCCCAAGCCCCGGGCGCCAATGGAGCCCGAAGGCGGACAGAACCGCTAGTCCTCGCGAAGGCGCCACTGCTGAGAGACACGCAGCCCCTGCCGTGGCCATGGCCCTGTCACCAGCGCCGGAACCAACACCGCTTCGCACGAGCTCTGGCGCCCAGCCCCAGTCCCGCCTCGGTGAAGGATCCGTCCGGTGGGCCCGCAACGCGCTGAGCCCAGGGGCGCCGCTCTATACGCGGCACACCACTCCCAAAGCCGATTGCAAAGAAGGAAGTCACCCCGCTGACGTGTCCCGATCTGTGCGAGTGGTGTCGGGGTGAAGCCCCTGAGAAGTGGCCCGCAGGATCCAGTTCAGGCCGGCCTTTGGCCAGCGCAACCGGGAAACCAGCTCTCCCTCCAAGAACCTCCTCCTCATGTGCGAACCAGGAACTACACTTCCCAGGATGCCGCCCGAGGCGTCCCGGCATCCCCAAGCCGATGACAGCCGGGGGCGTGGTCAGCCCGGGGTCCCTGGGAGCAGGACAGGCGGCTCCGCGGCCACCACCACGCTCTCCCCTTCGGGCCCAGTCCGGGACCCCTGCTGGCCCTTAAGTCTGAGCACAGCCTCGCTGTTGAGATGGGCAGAAGCGGGGTCTCATATTGGCACAGGCCCCCTCCCAGGCTCACACCAAACCAGCAAAGTGCTGCTCAGCTGTTGCAGCTAAAATCGGGGGACTACATTTGGGGTGCAAGGCCTGGCTACTCTGGCTGCAGGCCGAGGGTTGAACGTTTATTCATCACAATTAACAGCCTATACAAGCATCTCTAGAGTAGAGGCTGTGGGTCCAAACGGACCCCTGCAGCTCCAACCCTCTGGCCTCTCCAGGTGCTGCCCTCACAGCCCATGGAGCATGCCTGGGCAGGCAGACAGGACACAGACTCAGTCACAGGGTGTCGGGGGAAGCTCTTCTAGCTGGAATGATTGGAAGTTGGCCCAGCAGCTGGGGCTGGTCTGTCCCTTCCCCTCCTGGGAAGTTCCACCTCCACTGTAGTTAAGGCCACCAGGATGAAAGCAGGGTTAGGTCCAGGGACCCAGTAGAGCCTTGGGATGCAAGAGGTGGGAGTAAATGGACTTGGGAGAGAAGTGGAGATTGGGAAGGGGCCTGATTAGAACAGAAACTGATGATGTTGGTTCAGCACCTGCAAGATGAGGAAGGTGACTGCAGCAACCTTAGAGCTTCCCAAAGGAAGCGAGTGATGTCCCTGTCTGCCAGGAGGGTACCTCCTTCAGCCCTTGGCACAAGAGCCAGACCAAGGTATCCAGGGAACTCCACAGGACAGAAGCCCTGCTGAGGTGAGGGGGATGGTGGGTGAAGGAAATTCTTCTTGGGGCTTGTAGCCCAGTCTCAAACAAGGAACAAGGACATGGCCCACAGGTCCTCATTTGTGAGCCAGTAGGCAGGGAGTGAGCCTTCTCTAGGGTAGGAGATCACAGCCTGGGGAATTTTCCTTAGGGCTAGGATGCATCCATGGAGACAGGTTAGGGCCAGTTTCCAGGAAGCTCAGTGGAGTGCTCTCGGCTCCTCAGGCCTCTCAGGCAGACCTTTTCTGTAGGGCAGTGCCCCCTAGGCTGCAGCTCTGACCTTTAGGAAAGATGTAACGAAGCTTGGCTGATCCCATGCCCACTAGCACGCACCAGGGTCCCCAAACCAACTAGGTGGGCAGGGGCTGGGCCCATAGGGTCCGGAATGGAGGGTGGGGCCACTAGACCTGGGGTAGGGAGGGGCTGGGGGCACAGCCCCCAGGGTCCATGGTGTTCCAGAGTCCCGAGTTTCAGGTTCAGCTGATGTAGATACGATGGAAGTCGTGGGCACCAAAGGCCGCGTTGCACTTGGGGCACTTCCTCTGGCGGGCCTCATAGCGGCCCCGCACGCACTCGAAGCAGAAAACGTGGAAGCACTTGGTAAGGACTGCATCCTTCTTGCGGGTATTACAGCAGGGGCAGGTCAACCGCGCCTGGGCCAGGCAAAGGCATCAGCTTGGGAACAACTCTGACAGTGCCCAAACCCCAAGCTGACAGCAGGAGTCCAAGCCAAGCCCACCACACAGGAGACTGCACCTCATCCTCCCATAA